GGTCATCTCCCTATTCCATAGGGTGACCTGAGCTTCGACAGGAGCGCTGACCTTATCAGACAGATAATCCCCCAGAGTGTTTAGGAAACCATCTGGATCCATTAGTCTCCGAGGGCAGAGCATCTTAATAGATCCCCCACCCTTGCAGATGGAAGAAGAAGCTAATAGACTAAACTTGATCAGGAAGTGGTCTGACCATGACAGTGGGGTCACAACCAGCCCCTCCACATCCAATCTACCATCTCCCAGTCCTGTTGAGAAAACCAGGTCCAAGGTATTGCCCTTCTCATGTGTCGGGCCGATGACATATTGAGACAGCCCCATGGTTGTCATGGCAGCTATGAAGTCCTGAGCTGGCCCAGTCAAGGCAGCCTCAGCATGGATGTTGAGGTCCCCCAGCACCAACAGCCTGGGAATCCTCAACACCAGGTCCGAGACTGCCTCCATCAGCTCAGGCAGGGAGACTGTCGGTACGCAGCAGGGTGGGTGGTACACCAACAGAATCCCTAATCTGTCTCGCAGGCCCAACAAACAATACAGCCCTCAAGACCTCCTCTCAAAGGGATAGGAAGCCTGATCAAGGAGATAGAACTCCTATAGACTATAGCAACTCCCCTCCCCGACCCTCTGAGTGACATTGGTGGTGGACTGAGTACCTAGGCGGACACAGCTGAGATAGGGGGACACCACCCTCCTCTCCCACCCAGGTCTCAGTAATGCATGCCAGGTCAGCACCCCCATCCAGAATTACATCATGAATGAGGGCAGTCTTTTTTTTGTACCAACCTGGCATTCATCAACAGCACCGTGTGGTTCAAGGGTTTGCTGATATGGGGACTAGAAGAGGTAGGACTAGAAGAGGGGATAGATGTAAGATATCTAACCTCTCTTCTCCTACATGGGCGTGTTCTACCCCCACTGCCATTCCTTCCCCTTCCCAGCACCACCTCAATGGCTGCCCCCTCCAGCACCCTCCCCCATTCCTGTTCCCTCAGATCCACTATGGGTCTCTATGCAACCTGATGGCAATTAATAATAACAATAAAAACAACAACACACCCTTCTAAAGCCCCTTCTCCCCTCCAAGCCAGGTGGCTGATGTTGAGGAGGGGGTGGGGCAGCCAGAAGCAGCAAGGGCCCAGTCCTGCAAGACCAAGGGAGTCCAGGCCAAACGCCCCCAGGACACTGTCTCTTACCCAGTGCCTGAGGGACGGCAGATGATGGAGATGACTCCCCTGAAGGCAGGGATGCTGGTTTTGATAACTAAGTATTTCCCACGGGCAGAATCCATAAATAGAAGCAGCTTGCTCAATCCATATTATCAAGCTAGTTCTAGCGGTTTCCATCTCTGCCAGTAGTTTTGTGACAGTAATCGGTCCTAAGACCAAGCTACCCCTAAATGTGTTGGGAACAGAGCAGGGAAGTCTCAGAGAAGATCTTCTTCCCCTCCCCAGTTACTGTGAGGGGTGCAGCTAAACGTGGGGTGGGATGGGAGGGACAGTTTTTGTCAATATTATTGCTTCATCTTCAACAATGCAGTCTGTGTTTTATTCCATATAAAAAAAATCTCATCCCCTTCCTCCAGTATGAGAGTCAAGGAATCTAGGAGTAAAATCAGTTTTAAAAGTACAGTGGTGCCTCCTTGACGAGGATAATTTGTTCCAGTGAAATCGCTGTAGAGCGAAATCCTCGTCAAGCGAAATAAAAAAGCCTATTGAAATGCACTGAAAACCATTCAATGTGTTCCAGTGGGCGAAATACCTCAGCGTCCAGCGAAGATCCTCCATAGGGCGGCCATTTTCTGCTCCCTGTATAGCAAGGAATCCATCCCAAAACACAGTGGGGAGCTATTTTGCACAGCAGGTGGCCATTTTGAAGACTCAACGATCAGCTGTTTTGATCGTCGTTAAGCAAAAAATTGGTTCTGAAGCAGGGAACCGATCATTGTAAAGTGGTTTTTCCCTATGTAAACATTATTCTGCGATCGCTATAGCGATCACAAAAAACCCATCGTACAGCCAAAAAACCGTCATGCGGGGTAACCGTCTAGCAAGGCACCACTGTACAGTTCAGACATCTAATGAACTAACTGAAACATGAGACAAATTAAAACAGTAAAAATGGATTAATAAAGCAGATGGAGGAAATAGCACCCACATGGATTAAAACAGTGGTCCCTGACCTTTTTTGGACTCTGGACCGGTTTAGTGTCCATGTGTGCATGTGGGGGGGGCTGTGTGTGTGCACATCTGTGCAGCCGTGGGTGGGGTGTCCATGCATCTGTGCATGCATGTGGGAGGCGTATGTGCATGCTATTTTAAGGTGCATAAAGTATAGTCTTCAAATCCTGTGATGTACTAGTCCCCCTCAATTTGGCACTGGTTAGGCCTTATCTAGAGTACTGTGTCCAGTTCTGGACATCACACTTTAAGAAGGTTGCAGACAAACTGGAACAAGTTCAGAGGAGAGCAACAAGGACTGGAAACCAAGCCCTACGAGGAAAGACTGAAAGAATTGGGCATGTTTAGCCTTGAGAAAAGAAAACTGGGAGGAGAATTTATAGCACTTTTCAAACACTTGAAAGGAAGTCATACAGAGGAGGGGCAGGATCCGTTCTTGATCAACTAAGAGTTCGAGACACATAATAATGGGCTCAAGTTACAGGAACCCAGATTTAGGCTGAATATCAGGATAACCTCTTAACTGTTAAAGCCAGTATGACAGTGGAACCAATTACCTTAGGAGCTGGTGAGCACTGTAACACTGGAGGCATTCAAGAGAACTTTGAACAACCATCTGTCAGATCAGTTTTGATTTCATAGAATAGTGAAGGTGAAAGGGATCTATAAGGCCATCAAGTTCATCCCAAAAAGATAAAACAATTAAAATACAATTAAAATAGATACTCTAAAATTGCCATCAGGACCCACAGTTCATATTATTTCAATTAAAAGCCTTCTGGAACAGGAAGGTTTTGACCTGGTGCCAAAATGTCATCAGTGTCGGCGCCAGACGAATCTCAGTCGGGAGGGCATTCCATAGTCTGGGGGCAGCTTGTTGCATGTCCAGATGCTCTCAAGGGGACATCAATCTCCTGTATTTCTGTGAAGGAATGTGTGTGGGTTTTTTTTACATAATACTGCAACTCTGCCTCTCTTTCTATTCTTTCTGTTCGTTTTGAACAATTTCTATCTTTCAATGCTGTATTCCAGTTGTGGGAGTCATCCCACCAAGTTTCAGTTATTCCTATCAAATCATATTTCCTGAACTAAATTTCCAGTTGTTCTTGTTTGTTTCCCATACTCTTGGCATTCATATATAGACACCAGATACGTATTGTGTGTCTTTGTATATTTTTATGAATATTACTACAGTAATAATATTGATGTTATTATTGACCCCCATTTGAAAGTTTGATCTGTTTCTCTTGTGTGTAAGGCTTCATCTGTCTTTAACTTTCTGCTTGCATCTCCCTTCCCCTTCCAATTCAGTTTAAAGCTCTCCTGATGAAGTTCTTCATGCTGTGGCCAAACACATTCTTCCCAGTCCTTGTTAGGTGCAAGCCATCTCTTGCTAGCAGTCCTTTTTTCAGGAAGCTTAGCCTGTGGTCCCAGACACCAAATCCCTCAAGTCAACACCACCTTTCTAGCCATACTCATTCACCTGGAGTATTTTCCTTTCCCTTTCTATTCCTCTTCCTAGTGCTAGTAGGATGGATGAAAAAAAAAACTATCTGGGTCCCAAAGTCCTTGAATTTCCTTCCCAGAGCTTCGAAGTCTGATGTGATTTCTTCAGAGCTCCTCTTGGCTGTGTCGTTCGTTTGCATGTGGACAAGAAGAAAGGGATATGTATCTGTAGGTTTTATGAGTGATGGCAGTCTTGCCGTCACATCCCTTATCTGACCTCCAGGGAGACAGCATACCTGGCGAGTCCATGGATCTTCCTGGCATATTTCAGTCTCAGTTCCACTCAGTAGGGTGTCTCTTACTACAACTACTCTTCTCTTCTTTTTGTAGGGTGCAGGTTCAGTGACTGTATTTTGCTATGCTTCAGCCCTTCTCATGTCATCCTGTGTATTCCTGCATTGAGCAGGAGTTAGACTCTGTGACCTTACAGGCCTCTTCCAACTAAATTATTCTATGTTCTATGAAGCACAGTCTTCTGGAAGTTTAAGGAGACTGCAGTCCAGATTTAGGCATGTGAAGAGTTGTTGTTGTTCTGTGCCATCAAATTGGAACCAACTTATAGCCACCGTAATAGGGCTTTCAAGGTAAGCAAGGTATTTATGGAATGGTTTTACTGGTAAAATGACTGGAGATTCAAACCCAGTTCTCCAGAGTCCTAGTCTGTCACTCTAGCCATGGCACCACATTGCGTATGTGAAGAATAGACCGATTGAAATCAATGGGGCATCTTAATCACGACCAACTTTTTCCATTAATTTTTGTGAGGCTGTTATAAGCACGACAAACTCTTACTCAGGCAGGTTGTGATTTCCAGGCCTTGATTGGATTGTGCCCCTTGTTCACAGCAGATAACTTGGTGTGTTCTCATGAGAAAGCAATACTGAAAGAGGCTTAATCCCCCCCCCCCTACTTTTACTTACTTCAGGCTTTTGCAGCTCCAGAGAATAGTCCTTGCAACAGATTCTGACCTTCCGGATGAGTTGCTCTATGGAAGAGCGGGCTATCTTTATGCATTGCTTTATTTGAATACTGAAATTGGCCCCGAGACAGTAGCACAGTCTGTTATTAAAGAGGTAAGAGAAGACATGTTTCCAAAATTGCCTGTCCAGTTTTTCTTTGAATGGTAGAAAATTCTGTGGTTGACCTCATACAGAGCAAGCCTGACCAAATCATTAACCAATAAAATGGCTGTCTCAGACGGCAAGCTTTGGTTGATATAGAATGACAGAATATAGCTGCCTGCTTCCTTGATTAGTATCGTATATTCACTGCCAGGGAAAAGGCACATGAGGGATGTTGTCCCATCTCCCTAAATAACAAATCGGTGTTAAGAATTCTATACAGTCCCTAAAGGGGGCAGGGTGGAATTTGCTGCATATTGCAAATATTTGGTTCTGGCCATGTGACCAACTCACTTCCGTTGGGAGGAAAGAATATAAGGTGTGATGCCTTTCAACTGTTTGTTTATTTAAAATATTTTTACTCTGCCTTTCTCCTTAAAAGAACCCAAGTTGGCTTACATAATTAAAAGACAATATTAAATCAAACAACATTGAGAATCCAAATACTAAAAAGGACCAAACAAATACAATACAAAAAAATACATAAGCAACACCAAAACGCATTCAAAGCAGTAAGGGTACAACAATCCCTTTAAAAACACTACTCGGGCAAAGCAAAGTGTGCTGCTTATATACTGCCCCACAGTGCTCAAAGCACTCTCTGGGCAGTTTACAGCTTAGTTATACAGGCTAGACATTGCCCCCCTCCCCCATTGAACTAGGTTACTCATCTTAGCAACTTCGGAAGGATGGAAGGTTGAATCAACCTCAGGATGGATGTCAGAATCCACTGGGATTGAACACTGACAGTGAGCAGAGTTCTGAGTGCAATACTACAGTTTAACCACTGTGCCATGAAGCTCTTAGGCAACCAGTCACTCTGAGAAAGCTTGCCTAAAGAGAATGTGTTTGCCTTGATGCAGAAGAATAGAGGCCACCAGCCTGGCCTCTTGTGGGAGGGAGTTCCAAGTCTGGAAGCAGTAATAGGGAGCACCCTCTCCCATGTATCCGCCAAATTCACCTGTGAAGGTGGCAGGATGGGAAAAAAGACCTCTCCTAATGATCATACTGACACTCAAGCAAAGCAAAGTGTGCTGCTTATATACTGCCATGGCACTTAAAGCACTCTCTGGATGGTTTACAATTTATTATGCAGGCTACACATTGCCCGCCTGCCCACCCACCCAGTGAGCTGGGTACTCATTTTACTGATCTCGGAAGAATAGAAAGCTGAGTCAACCTTGGATTGAATCCCAGGTCGTGAGCACAGATTTGGATGCAGTACAGCAGTTTAACCACTGTGCCATGAGACTTATAAAGGGAGATGTGGTCTTTGATGTGGTCCCTACTCGTGTTAGAAGAACAATGAACAGATGCTTGAAGGCTGTTCATTGTTCTGAGACTGTGACCAACCCTCAGTATTGAGGTAGCCAGCTCAGCCTGCCTTCCACTATATCCCTGCTGCTGTTGAATGCCAAGTCTGTTTCTTATAAGGCCCAGGTGATTTACGACCTTATCCTGGAGGAGGATGCAGACCTGGCATGCATAACCGAGACGTGGCTCAATGGGGAGGGTGGCCCTCCCCTGGCTCTCATCTGCCCGCCCGGTTATGCAGTCCAGCACCAGGGTAGACTGGAGGGGCGGGGGGGGAGTAGCCATTGTTTACAAATCCAACTTAGAGGCTACTAGGCGCTCCTCGGTGGTAAAGCCAGGTCTAGAGGCACTCCACGTGTCAATAGGGGCTAGGGATGGTATTGGGATTTTGCTGGGTTACCGCGCTTCCCGCGACCCAGCCACTTCCCTACCAGAGCTGGCCGACTCTGTCTCTGCGGCATTGTTGGGATCCCAGAGGCTTCTTGTCTTGGGTGATTTCAACGTGCACATGGGGGCAGAGACTGCAAGGCCAGCTCTTGAGTTCTTGGAAACCATGGCTTCCTTGAACATGTCCCAACATGTCATCGGCCCCACCCACGTGGGTGGCCATACGTTGGACCTGGTTTTTTCCACCAGTTGGAGTGAGTGTGGTCTGGTGGTGACTGACCTCGTGTTGGTCCCCTTGTCATGGTCAGATCACCACCTAATAAAATGTAACCTCTCAGTGGCACTCCCCCCTCGTGGGGAGCAGGGACCTATTTCTGTGGTCCACCCTCGAAGGCTACTAGATCCTGTTGGATTCCAGGAGGCCATAAGAGGTGTTTCGGCTGACCTGGCTGGTGCTCCTGTCGAGGCTCTGGTTGACAGCTGGTCCATCGCTGCCACTAGTGCTGTAGACACAATCGCGCCTAAACGCCCTCTCCAGCTCAGAGCTCGGCCTGAGCCCTGGTTTAACCAGGAGCTCCGAGTGATGATGTAGGCGAAGGCTAGAGCATAGGTGGAGGAAGAACCCGACGGATTATAATTGGATAGCTGTTAGAGTCGCAACTAACCTTTACCTGACTAAGGTAAAGGCTGCATGTAGATCATTCTTTGCTAACCGGATAAGCGAAGCGTCAACCAGCAGGCGGAGTTATTCCGTATAGTGTGCGACCTATCCGGAACTGGTTCATGTGATAGGCCTCCCCCTGGTTTTTCACCTGACCAGTTTGCAGCCTTCTTTAAATCTAAAGTGGAGGCCATCCACCGGGAGCTCTCTCCTTTTTAAATACAGTGAGACGAGTAGAGATGTCCAGCGCTCCGTCTTGCCCGGTGACTTTTGACTCCTTTCAGCCTGTAACGCCTGATTCTGTGGCCAGGTTGCTTGGTCGCTGTTGGGCCACCACCTCCTCCCTTGATCCTTGCCCGGCCTGGCTAATCAAAGCAGCCAAGCCGATAACAACAGAATGGGCCACTGTAATCATAAATGGGTCTTTCCTTGAGGGCAGGTTTCCATCTGCCCTCAAGGAGACACTCATTAGGCCCATAAGAAAGAAACCTA